ACCACCACCCCCCCCCCCCCCCCCCCCCCAAGGCATAGGTGGAGTATTGATTAAACAAAAATAAAAGAACTGATAATTATAATCAATTATTTTCAGCAGGAAACAGGTAGAGATAAATAACCATATATCCTAACAAACCACAAGTTTCAAAATCAATTCCAACTAGATCAACTAAACTTGTGTTAACCTGCAAAAGGAACATAACCAATCTTCTATCAACTGCATATTCAGTTGAACAATCATACCATGACCAAGGATCATTTAAGTAACTTAGTTTTATGTAAAAAGAGAACCAGCCTTGATTACAATAAAATATGTGTCTCAAGTATGAAGGAAGTAGTTTTATTTCAGAAGCTAATCTTCCACTTCCTTCCCTCATCCCCAGCCGACAAAGATAAGCACAGTGAAACATGGTGAAATACAACGAAGAGGAGCACAGTGATATACGGAAAATTTAATAAAATGTTCAGTTAGGCATATAATGCGCGACCAATGTTATTTCAGTAATCAGGGAAAATAATTACTTCCTGTTGTATCGATTAATTGTCCCTAATAATAGAAAATGTCTAAATTTTGGTAGTTGCATAATAATTTTTTTGGAAGAAAAGATACCAAATTCCTTCTAGTCTTTAACTTCTCCTTACTTTGGTAGTTGCAGACTAATTTATATTCTGCAACTGCAATAAACTTTCATGAGAAAGACCATCAACAGTTATATCCAGCCAACATCCAGGAGAAGCCATGTAAAGGTCATTTAAAAAATTTGTTAAATGCAGAAATGCATCATGTTTCACAGCAATTTATGATGCAGAATAATGAGATAATGATGGCCCCATAAAAAAGGCAATCTATGTGGGTCCACGGACAGACCTGACCAACCCATTGTCTAAGGCCTGTAATGTGCTCCCGGACTTGTTCAGGGGTGAACAATTCTATCAGCGATACTCCCTTTATTTTTGGCTTCCCAGACTTCGATGAACTTTCAGAAGGAACTGATGTACTTTCCTGTTTAGCATGGTCCAGTTCCTTCTCAATCTTGATAACCTCCTGTTCACCAAATCCAGTAGGATTATTTGAGATGATAGGAAATACATCCGGCCTTTGTTTGTAGGTATCATGCAAATTATCCTTTACCATCTCAATATTCTTAGAACTTAACTGCCCAACACTTGACGGAATTTCCATCTTTACTCCTGTGTCATTGGATTCCATTGGCACGTGAGAAACATCATGTTGTGTATCGGAGAGGGGATGAGGTTCAATTACAGCAGGACTTCGTATAACCGAGCTTTCAGTTTCAGACGGAATGGGTAAGGAGGTATTTTCAATCTTCAACCGTTTAACAGAAGGCTGTATGGCTTCTGGAGTTTCAGTTATAACTGGACTTGTCTCGAGTGTCAACCCACCATCATTTTCAGCTGAATTATGGGATTTACGGTTTTCTTTCAAAGTAAAATCAGAATCAGCAAGTGCCTTTAGATGTAACTGCAGAAAATTCTTAACAGGAATGCAAACAGGACAACTTGCTTCCCTACAGATCCTATGGTGATTTATTAAATCCTTCGTACCGCAGCAACGAGGATACAAACATTCAAGTATATTGCATCTTTCTATATGATTCAACAATTTTCGCGCTGTAATGCAATTAGGATCTTGACAATTGCCTTTTGGAGCATGGCAAGTACGAGCATGGCGCAAATACAACAACCATCTTTGTTGGTTCTTGAATTGCTGTTCACGATTAAGGTTACTAGATCTACGTACAGTGCCAGTATAATTAGGAGGATTTGATGATTTAGTAGCATCAGATTGTCCAATCATAGATTCTTCTGAGGATAAATTATGCCTCTGTGCATTATCGTTCCCAGTTATTGTCTGGTGATATTCACCATGCACATTTTGATCATGTTGGGCTCTCCTTGATACATGAGACACATCTTGAGACTTGGGGTCACATTGATCTTGCGGAGCTGCATCCATATGGATGCCACCAGATAGGCTGTTAAAACCGTTTTGAGTGTTAGCAGCAAATTGCTGCGGATGCAACAGCTGTTGTATCTGATCTGAAGTTTGAGTACGAGATGAAGACATATCTTGTGGGTAAGACGGATGTGAAGCACCTCCAGAATGGCCTTCCATAGCATTTTGTGGGAACTGATTCTCTAAATCAGAAAACTCGAATGTCTTAGAGACTTGCAAGTGCAGACTTTCCTCTTGATGCTTTATTCCAGGCTCGATCTTTCCTTCAACGCCTACACTACACGATAGCTGAGACTGTCCTAATGTGTCATTCATTAAAATAGGTTGGAGATGCTGACTTTTCTGCTTTTGCTGGAGTTGATGTTGACCAAGTTTCTGCTGCTGAAAATGGTGAGATGGTTGTTGATATTGTTGTTGAGGAGATTGTACAAGATTTTCTCTAGATGAATGCTGCAATTGGAAGTTCATCTTGTCAGATTGATCAAATGATTGCGCCTTCATACTTGTGTGTAGAGTAGATTGCATATTCGAACGATTTATCATCAAATGAGAGTTTGTTTTGGGGATGGACTGCAAGGATACAGCAGTTGAGCTCTGACTGTTCATCAATGACCCAACAGAGGTTACTGGAGAATGTATATTACCAGACCCTGAAGCCTCAGCTTTTCCAATTCCATATCTATCACCTATAAAGTGGGTTATTTGAAGTAAGAATACAAGTAGGAGGAAATAGAGATATCACATTCTTCATATTTCCCAAAACACCATAACTCAACTGTTTGGAATAAATTTGGAGAGAGTCGGATATAGTAAGAGAGGAGGGAGATGAAAGAATAAGTACCCTGCATTGCTGACTGTTGATGTTGATCGAAATGTTGTTGCAATGGTTTGGGGGAGTTGCCATATAATGTTCCTGTTAAATATCCCTCAGAAGCAACTGGACCCTTCATCAGAGACATATTGTTTCCCATCATCCCCAGCCCCGCATCTAAGGGCCCATTTGATGGAACATACGACTTTTGCTGCAATGTAGACCTAAGTTCACCCATGTGGCCGCCAATATTATGCAGAATACGACTATTTTGACCAACTCGCTGCTTTTGCAACATCGGCTGTGATACATCAGTAGATTCAAAAGCTGGAAATGCAAACATGTTATTAGAGGACTCCATTTTTATCAGAGACTGATTATTAGCATTAGTATTTATATCATTGTTATCTGAACTAGAAAATCCAGGAGTGGGAATCATTTGGCTTGTTATTCTTGGAACACTCATAGATGTCGCTGTGTTATTGCCAACAGAGTTAACTGTACCCCCCAATGATGATGGTTGATATCCATTAGCTAAAGCACCTGCAGAGAAATATCTAGTGAGAGAAGTGAAAAAGGTACGTATATAGCTTTAGTCATTACCATAGATCAAGAGACTTGTAAGTACCACTAGAAGAACTAAAAGAACCACCGGCCTTACTCCCAACAGATCCATTTCCAGCCAGCAACAAGTTTCCAGAATTGATGGTGGAATATGCAATTGTTTTAGAGCTACTGTTACCAACAATAGAGTTATCCACAGACGACATTCTCATCAGGCTTGAATTACCGGTTTGGGGTAATCCAGGAGTTGGAATCATTGTACCCATGGAAGACGATGTATTAACTTGTGAAAATTGCTGGTTGTGATTAGTCTTTGATAGTCTAATAACAAATTGCAAACGACTTTCCAAGGTTGCACGGTTTAGATACTCCTCCTGATAAAGCAAGAAAAGTAGGGAGATAAGATATGAACACAAGTACATGGTAGCCAATCAATAACTTCACTAAATATAAGAAGTTCCTTAATATGCTTTTCTAAGAACAACAATAGAAGTTCCTTGTCAGATATTACCAGAAAGAATATAGCTCATGTAGAAATTTACGCAGTGTCTATTTTCTACGAGCTATTATCCATCTTTTTACATTGGGATCATGTTCATCAAACTTTACGCAACATGATAGTAAGAAAATTGTATGAAGAAACAAAATAAAACTACAGAAACCTTGGATGTAGCGATCCTGAATATACCCTCTTCTAAGCGCTTTGCTAGGTCCCAAATATTTTTACCAGGTAACTCATGAGATTGTTGCCTCCGCTGCATGAGAGATTCAATTCTGGAGAATAGGAAATTCAGAGTTTTCATCAGTACATATTATATCTGATCCCAATCAAAAGCACTAACATGTATATGTAGTGGTACCAAAAACAATTTTGTACAATTAAAACAAAACTACAAATGGAATTAGAAGAACATGGACTCAACAAAAATGTTCATCAAGACCAATATAGAAGAGGAAGAATGTGATACCTATATATAGAAAAATATTAAAACATAATGCTAAAAAAGAGGCAATAAAACCCATATAAGAATCATGCAATCTCCTCAGAACAGTACATTTTCTAGTCCAATTCAAAAGACAAAATGTAACAAGCAATTCCCATGTAAGTAACGATTCAATTACCTTGAGATTGATGTATGTGAAAATCATATAAAAAAAAATCATAATTATAAGAGAATCCTTTTACATCCAACAAAAGATCATAAAATTGAGCAAAATAAATGAATTTTCTAAAAAAGAGAAAGAATAATGACATTTTTCTATGCAACCAAATTTCTTATTGAGAGATTATTTAGTTTCTATAATTAGCCACCACGATGAAATAAAGACGCTTACTGGTTTCCTCATTCCAGCTCACTACTAGTGAGGCATAATATGGTTTTATACAACACAATATAAAAATGAAGTCGACCGACTTTCCCCATGACAGTTTACAAGCCATTGTACGAAAAGTAAAGGTAAACATGTCAAAACTACCAATGTATCGTGATAAAGGTGATTGACCACACTTACAGCTAGGTAAAGAAGCGAATTTTGTTTTACCATAAACCGGTGATTTTCTTGAGAAAAGAAGATATCTTAACTAACGATAAATTTTCCAATCACTGAGAAGCTATTCAGGAATTCAGTCCCGCTGCAACCTGATGTTACAAGTTAGACATCACCTACTTATTTAACATTGGTTTAGAAAGTTTCCTTATTGTTTCATTCTCTTAGAGCTTGTTTAGGGGAGATTTTTTTGAAAATCATTTTTCCCCAAAATCATTTTCAACCACACATTTATGGAACCCATAAGTTTTTCCTACTTTTTAGCCACATATTCTCAAAAAATAATCGTTCACTTGGAAAAATCTCTCCCAAACAAGATCTTAATCTGAATTGTGAAGGAATTGAATATTATCTGTAAAAGAGAATTATTAAAAGGAGTAGAAATATGTAACTAAATAATCAAGCCAATAAATTATAGTGAATCTATGTTTAGTTAGTGTATGGAACAAATCCAAACCAATAGACTTCAATCAGGCCCAAAACTACAAAGCATGTAGTAATATTTATCGGTCTCATTAACCACCACTATTGTCCAATCCACCAAAAGAAATTAATCAGTAGGAACAACAGCAAAAAGAACATCTCTGATTGACATAGATAAGAAAGAGTATTACATCTTTTCAGTCATAAACCTCCGTGCTTCTATATATTCAGGGTCCATGTTCTGCACACGACGATGCATACTAGGATTTTGCATCTGACTAGGCAGAGCAATATTTTGCTGTGGTATCCCAGTCAATAAAGTACCAGCTTGGTTAAGTGCCTGTTCTGAGATATGGTCTGAAGGGTGTGCTTGCAAATTCATCTTCACCTTGTAACTTAATAAATAAATAATAAGAATAATCGGAGTTTCAGCATCTAGAGAACAATATTATAGTAAAGTACTCAGAATGAGGCATCATGATCAGTCATGTCCCATCATAACAACACCCACATTATCTAAACTAGCCAGAACACCTGCACTGAAATTAAAAAAGTGAATAAGAAAACAAAAGATCAGTTTAACATATACAATGTGAAAATATCGCAAAGTTAATGTGTGCACGAGTCATGAGCCAACAGACAAACATTCAGGAAAGATATGTCTCTAAAAAAAAATTAAATGAATAGCAGATGATAATGACGTCCCTGCAGCGGCCGGCTGGTGACTTATTCGGGGGTAATGCTTGGTGGGAAGAAAGGATGAGAAGGATGGGCAGAAAGGACAGCCGGTTGCACCAGCATTTTACAGCATGTTCTGTGGAGAAGGTAAACAGATGAGGAGGAGGTTGCAGTTCGGGTTTTCAATAAAAAGATTATGTTTTCTTTTCTGGTCAAAGGAAGAAGTATTTCAAATAAACAATGTTATTTTCACAAGGGTTATCTTTGGAAATTAGGGTGAAAGAAGTGAACACTTTTATGGTACAACCCAAAACGGGAGATGCCAAATCATTATGAAACGGAGAGACTAATACCTATTACCTAATTATTTTGTGAATTTGGTACACTTAAACAAAGTTAACGAAAAAACCATAAAATAATCATGGTCAATGGTGATCTTTTTCCCTAGTAATGTCCAACAAATCAGGAGCATAAATAAGATTAAAACTTGTGCACATAATATCAAGTGGCAAAAAATGTTCTACTTGATCAGCCTCAAGGTTCCTATTTAGTAAATGTCGTTTGATTTATTCAATAAATACACTGCATTTACTTGTTTACTTAAGGAATTTATTCGCAGAAAGAGCAAGATAATATATTTTTTTACTTAGCTGGTCAGGTCCGAATCCGCTTCTTAGCAAACCAAGCAGCATTTAATGAATAACAAAAACAGACAAATTCAAAAAGAATGGCAAAATCATCCACAAATCCAAATTTTCCTCCTACTCACATTTCAGCTTTAACTAAACAAGAAACTTAAATTCTAGGACTATCCCTTTCTGGGATCTTCATGATCACAAACATAAATCCACATACAGGCTCCAATTTCACGTTCACACAAAATGATCAAAGTAAAAAACTATATCAGGATTTCATCGAGACAAACTTTGAGATGGGAATCATCCGAATTTAAACATGATAGGGTTTCATCAATTTGGGGGAACCCAATTCAGGGCTTAATTCGATCCATCTTAATCTATATTTTCAATTGAATCAGAATCCGATAACACTAAATAGTAAATTTAGCAAAATTAAACTAAAAATATACTAACTAACCGATAATTAAAACAATTGATGACACTGAAAGGGCAATGAATAGGAATTAAACAAATTCGCCAACATACCCGAGCAGTGAGCTAATTCCAGCATTCGAGTTCCATCATCATCATGAAATGGGTTTTGTCGGAGAAAGATTATTTGCAGAATTTGGGCGCGATTTATTTTATAAATAATGAGTTTTTTGTTAATCTTTTGGCGCAGAGATAATGTATCTATTGAATATGATTCCTATCAAGTTGATCCCTCTGAAGGATAGTTTATTTCATTTTGGTCCTCGTGGGATAAGTAATTTCTCTGTTTTCTCCTCCAAAATATTTGTGAATTATGGAATTTACAACTTTGTGCTCTGAAATCCTCAAACCTAATTTTCACTTGGTTAATTTTTGCATTTATGAGTTTGAGTTGGGTTAAAAGAATTGAAACTCTCTATGATTGCCCATTTAAATAAGAATAGTGGAATAAATTTCAATCAGAATCAATAAATTGGCCATGTCTCTCTCCTTCAGTCCACTCATTCAACCCTTGTCGTGATCTAATACATCGGTGGCTCTCTTGGTAGACCATCGTTCAAAATTGGTATAGGTTTGTCACGACACCAGTAGTAGTGCAAAAATCCAAACTTGACTGAATTACGTTTTGAGCTAAATATGAGCAAAATGATATTGGCACGTTCAAATTTATGAGAATACTTAGGCTAATTAGTGGTTTATTTTTTGAAGGACTTTATTTTGACCTCAGCACTCTTTAATTGATCTTTTCCTATGATGTTGATCTCTTGCTGATGATTTACCCAAGACAAATAGGATGTGTAGGTGACCTAGATCGAGCATTTTAGTTACTTTTAATGATCTGATACAAATCTATTTCCCATTTTTGGTAGTTCAGTATGTGTTGGAAGCAATACGCTTCTGATTTCTAGTTGGTAAGGTAATAATTTACCAAGATTAGAATTTGCTAAAAACACGGTTAATGATCAATATTTATCAACCGAAAGCAGTACTTGCAGTCACTGTATTTGACTTCTATTCCTCGGCATAATATATAAATTCAAACTCTCATCAATTTTTCAAATTTTTAACGACAAATGTAGTAATATATGTTAATATTGTGCGAATATACTGCAAAATTATTAGGTGATGAATTGCCCGAGCCGCCCACGAGCAGACGAGTCGCTCGACCCGTTTGATATCCCTATTAGAGGTACTCTGTTTTTGCCTCCATAATATTTTGAAAGAGGGAATTCATGATTTGTATACTTTCCAAACATACAAAATGTTGGGAAAAATAAGTGATTTATGTGCATTATCAATTAGAATAACAAATATAAATTAACATATACATAAGTAAAAAGGATAGAAAGTAAGTCTTAAGGAGTCATGTCAAGGATGTTGTATTAAATTCGTGCGGCCTCCCCTTTCATGAGCGGTACTACACAACTCCAAGATAAATCCTTCTAGCTCACATCCAATTCTTTTTCTATGGGCACAACCATATGAAGATAAAAAACGAGCCTATATAAAGTTGTCAAAACTTTAGATATGCCTATGTTAGCTCCCATTTCTTCAAAAATTCATTTTTAAAACTCATTTTCAATTACACATCTTCTCGAAAAATAACTTTACACGTAAATCGAAAAAATTTGTTTATTTTTCAACCAAACATTCTCCAAAAACATCTCTTTACTTACTACAACAATTTCATTTGAGAAAGCTATAATGAATTAAGCCTTGAATTATGCCACTTTAGCCAAACTTCATGTAACGTCCCAAATCATAGGATTTGAATTTGCTAACGAAACTTACTTCTTAGGTCTTCAGAAATTTTAGTTAAATTAAAATTTTCTTTTTATTTTCTTTTATTTTATTTCATGGATTACCCTTATGTTCTATTACATATTCCAACAACTAACGAAAATAAATTATTTAAGCTAGTCAGCTTTGATTTCTTGAATAAATGAAGGTAAAATGAATGGTGAAAATTGAGGTTCAGCTTAATTTAATGGAGTTCAACCCTCCAATGCATTGCCCAACGATCAAGCTTAGTTAGATAATTTCCCGAGTTCAAAATGCTTTGAAGATTTTGCAATATTTCCGAAAATCATTCAAGTACAACATAGTAAAATTTTAAAAAATAAATAAAATAACATCATTTAGACACTTAAACACATCCCTAAAGCTGTACCAAAATACACTGGACACAACACATGAAAAAGGGGGCATAACTTATTCTATCGACCTTCAAAAGACTTGATTCCAAAGCCAACGAATAGAGGACTCATAGGGCTTTCAAAATCTACTGGTCTCATTCAAAAATATGAAACATTTGATTCGGAGTGATAGCTTAAATATCAGACAAAAACTAAACTTTCTATTTTACGTTTTTAGATGTCCAAATCCAAACAAGAAATCGTATTTTTACGTTAAAACTTGCGTGAGCATGTCATACTAACATAATTTAATAAACATTAGTTCATAGAATTATATAAAAGTCTATTTTCATAGCCAAATAAAAATACAAGTTCAAACACAAAATAATCTTTTAAATCCATTATCTTAGTTTTGACATTAAAACATATGAAAATAAATTATTCACATGTGAACATTGGTTTAGATTTGATTTTTCTCCTCTTAACTTCTCCATAATCCATGCAATCTCAATCCATCCACGATTCATTCTCAATCTGAAAATTTTATTAAAGTAGGAGTGAGCGTAAGGCCCCATAAAATTTTCATAGGTACACTTCTCTTTGAATAAATATTCATATTCACATATAAAAACATAAATACTTCATATCATAGACATTTTCATGTAGTTGGATTACAGGTGACATCCTTATTTCTGAAGAAACTTTTGGGGTCATAGAAATCGGTTATTGACATAAAACTTTAACCTTTACGGTTCATAGCTTACAATTACATTTATACACATAAAATATACATAAACATTCATAGAGAAAAAAATTAACTTGCACTACATACCTACAATTACATTTATACACATAAAATATACATAAACATTCATAGAGAAAAAAATTAACTTGCACTACATACCTTGATTCTTGATATGAAATTAGAAATTCTTTGCCTTGAATTATCAAATTTATAGTAATACTTCTGTATATAATCGAAAATAATACAAATTTGAGAGGAAGAAATGTGAAAGCCAAATTTGAGGAGAGGTGAGGTAAAAGATGACTTTCCTCTTGTTGTAACCTTCATTTTTAGTGAAAAACAAAATGGAGGAATTGTGTAATAATAAACCTTGCTAAATGAGTCTTTAAGTGGGAACTTAAAGAGTTTTATGCTCAAAAGTAATTCTTGCTTTTTCATTTTTTTTAAATTTTATAAAACACATCTACATGGTGAAAAATTGAGGGAAATGAATTGTTCATGTGACTTGTGACCTATTTACATGAATGTCTATTAACAAGAAACTCATTCCCTCCAATTAATTTACATAATTGTATATTAATGTGAAATATGAGTTTTTAACTCCAAAAACATTTTTAGAAAAATATTTTATGAAAACATCCACATAGGGATAGTGATCCATGTTGATCTCGCAAATTGGACCCTCCACATGACTAACCGATAGCTACTCCATGTATTCCTCTCTGGGCACAATCAACATACGGTCAGATGCACACGGTCGGGACCAACGGGGGTGATGGCGGCCGCATACACTCCCACGGTCAAATTAGCCCCAAGTGATCGGAACAGTACCAAGGTTGTGCAAAAGGGTGGGGAAGAGAATATATATTTACTTGTTATGGAGAGTTAAGTTGTAAGAGTTTCATCTCCTTTTTTGCCTCTTGCCAAACCTTGGGTATTTATAGGTGAGGAGAACCGTTGGATGTGGGACACGTGTATGCATCTGATAGTGTGAGGTGTCTGCTCATAGGCGTCAATCAACCGTATCTATAGAGTGGGCGGGTGACTACTTCTCCCGAGTTGAATTGACATAAAGTTGATACTTTACATCAACTAGGCTTATGGAGACGTCAAATAAATTAAACCTTGGGGGTAGAAAAGATCTTGACAAAGATCTTTTCTTGAAATTGGCAGCGGATCCTTTGACAAAGAACCTCGGAATGTACTGCGCCTCGGCTTTAGGGGCGAGGACGCTTCGATCAATTCAGTAGATTGTCTGTGCCTCGCAGTGCGTTAGCAAATCGACAACATTGGTTGTGGCGTCACTTCGGATGGGCGTTGAACACGTCGTATAACGCGGTGATAGACTTTTCGAAGTGGTTCAGATAGGGGGCGTAACAGTGGTCCCACCAAGTTCAGGCATGAATATTTATATCATGGGTGGACTTGTTTTCCCGATCGGGTATGTCTACCTCGGGATAGGGATCGTGATTTGTGAGAACTTGTGGGTCGGTTTTCTGTGTTCACCAAAGCGTTAACCTTAGGTAGACGCGCTAAAGCTTCATTACTGCGTAAGGAAAAAATTTATCCGAGACCGATATGCTGCCAACTGGACGATGCGTTGGAGACGGCTAAAACTTTGTAAAGCTTAGGAGGGAACACAGCTACCGAGGTGATGACCCACAAAGGACTCTATGTCAGGTACGTCTAAACTTTGTAAAACTGAGCGAGAAGCTCATCTGCTATCGGTGCACTGACCCACAGGGGATGACGCATTGGGAATGGCTAAAGCTTTGTAAAACTTAGGAGGGAATGCAGCTATCGAGGTAATGACCCACAGGAGACTTCGCGTCAGGTATGTCTAAGCTTTGTAAAGTTGAGTGAAGAGCTCATTTGCCATTGGTGCGCTGACCCACAGGGGATGACGCATTGAGAGATGGCTAAAGCTTTGTAAAGTTTAGTAGGGAATGCAGCTACCGAGGCGATGACCAACTGTGGACTCTGTGTCAGGTGCGTTTAAACTTTGTAAAGCTGAGTAAGGAGCTTATCTGCCACCGGTGCGCTGACCCACATGGGACGACGTGTTGGGAGATGGCTAGAACTTTGTAAAGCTTATGAGGGAACGTAGCTACCGAGACGATGACCCACAGGGGACTCCGCTTCAGGTGCGTCTACGTTTTGTAAAGCCGAGTGAGGAGCTTGATCAGAGGCGGGCATTTCTGAAGTTAAATGATTTGATAACTGTCACGTATTTTCAAGGCGACAGTTGGGTGCAACGCCCATTCTCCTAAAAGGCTGCTGCGGCTACTTATTCTAGATGACTGGTGGTGATCGAGGTGACG